ATATTAAAAGCAAAAGTAACACTTCATGGTTTCTTACAGCTGAAAACACCTCTTTTTTAACATGTAAAGCATGTTTAAAAAATGTGGATTTGGAACTCCCACCTAATAGTTTGGAGTCTCTCCAGCAGGGGGCGCTATTAGCACACAAGCTGTGTTCATCATTTTGAGATGAAATAGCCATAAACCTCAGGAGGATCTAACAAATGCTTTGTAGTAGCAGCCCTCAAAACAAGAGGTAAAAACGTATATCAACAATTATTGAGTAACATTGAGTTACTCATTGAGTGTGTTTACATGCACTTAATAATCTGATAACTGCAGAAAATCAGATTTTGTCAGTAATCTGATCAATGCGTTTATATGCCCTTGAGTAATCAGATAATGGGGAAACTCAGGGTGTACATGAGTCAGACAGTAATTAGATTTCTGCTTTACAACCAGTCAATAAACTTACAGAAAAAGACGCGACGTAAGTGAAATGTAAAACTCAAACTTCATGCTGCAGCTTTTCTTTTAAACATCGTGCCACTTTACTTGAAAATATGATCATACATCATCTAAAAGATGAAAAATATTTAAAACCTTCACTTTGTATTTCATTTCAGGGTCTCTCCAAAAGTGATTTGCTGCGTCTCGCGGCAACGCTGCTTGCTTATTTCTGGTATTGAGGTCTGTTTGGCACCTGAGCAGACTGAGAAATACGAAAGAAATCAGAGTAAGAGTTCACATGAGCTGAGAATTACTGAGCTAAAATCCAGCTCTCTTTATCTGATTTCTCAATCACATTTCTAGACCGTAGTATGGTGTTTACATGACCATTGAATAATTGGATAATGATTATGATTGGATTATTGAGTGCATGTAAACGCACTCAATGTTATTTATGCAATTCACGTTAAAGAATTTCATTAAACCATATGAGTTAAAAGTTGCTGTGGGTTGTTGTCATGTTTCACTGTTGATCTGCTGCTGCTCGAACTGTTTGAACATGTCTGTGTTGACTGGCACAGGAAAGAAAAGAAAACAAACAGCATTTTTAATCAGTATTTCTTGTTTACAGTACCATGTTTTCATGATTTCAAATTTTTCAGTGGCCAATTTTTTTTTTGGAGAATGTTTAATCATTATTGGTCTTTTTATGATCTGTGCTGTATTTTCAATGCTTTTCCACATCCATGAAACATATATATATATACATATATATCTCATTTTGCCCACCCCTGGCACCATCAGTCAAAATCCCTGCTACAATCAATACGTGATGTCAGTACGTCCTCCCCGAAAGCCTGCAGTTTGACTTGCCGCCTCTAATGGCAATCCAATAACAGCTTCTTTGAAGGGTCATTTAGAGCAAGGTAGGCCCAAGTGGTTATTTGTCCAATCGCCTGGACGTTGCAGAATCGAAAGGTTTACAGATGATTACCTCTTACAACGAACATTATGTATTGGATGCCACATCATTGCCCCCTGTGCAGAATGAATTGAAATCCCTTAAAATCCCACAATTACTTCATCCTAAGGCCTTTTACCTAGTAACTAATGTACATGGACTACATTACAAATGACCTGATGTATTCGTAAGTTATAGAAGTGCATAGTAAAAGTTTGGACCAGCTGGAGGGTCCTGATTATTTAAGGAGTTAATGATGCAGCCAGTTCATGGAATTAGTAGGGGAGGGGTGGAGATTCAACACATTTTTGTCCTAATTCAATTTGATTTTAGTTGTTTTTTCTATTTTAATCCACTTAATAATCCTTATTTAACCAAACATTGATCTAAAGATTGAACTGTGACATATGCTCATCATGCCTGTGGAGACTAGTTCAAATGTATTTATTTATTTATATCATATATGATTTGTATCAATTTATGGAAGCTAGAACCTAATTGGGTTTGACAAGGTAACACACCCCTCTACATACAGAGTCCTTGATGGCCTTAAGGCTAATACTTCAGCATTAGTTAGAAAACAGTCTCTGAGATTGCAGAATTGATCATTTGTGCTTAATAAGTTTACTACAGGTTTGATTGTAGATTGTAGTTCAAAGTTGTTCACAGTGGTGGTGATGGGAACCAGACGTCTGAAGAGTTTAATGCCTCTAAAACCTCCCTCACAGAAAGTTATGATATGAAATGGTTATGAATACACTGCCTGATGCATGAGACATTGTTTTATGATAGTTTTGAGATAATATTTTGGACTGAAACATACATTTTTTAAATCCATCACCACCATCCTATCACCACCACTGTAAAGAAACCATTTCACAACAAACTACTCAAAATGGCTTTGTTCATATTCATGTTCATCTTTAAATTTTACATTTTGAACAGTCATTGGAGTTCCCCTTTAATTTTCCATGGTGGCTTCTCTGCTGCTTAATAAATCGATTTCTTGGCTGAATGGGTGGAGCTTCACTGAATAGACGGACGTTGAATTCACAAAAAGAGTGAATTCAAAAAGGCATGGACTGCAGTGGAGTTTCAATAATGCAAGGATAAATTTCCATGAAATTGGCCCTTTAAACCCTTTTAAACAACATAACAGGAACACTACAGGTCAAAAGTTTGCCATCGCTGTTCAAAAGTTTGGAATCACTATATTAAGTTATAATATTAGTGAATATTCAGAATTTATTATATTTTAAAAACTGGAGATCAAGAATCACTGCAGATAACAAGACCAAAAACAATCATTATTCAACCTTTATGTTGAAGAAATTAACCTACTATTCACAAAATTCTTGAAATATTGAATAAAATATTTATAAAAAATACCTTGTGGCAAATAATTAATTTCACAGTGTAGAGTATATTGTACGGTCGCATGCAAAAGTTTGAACACCCTGGTCAAATTACACGTTTTGTAAATTTTAAAAAATAAGTGAACGGAGAACAAACTGAATATGTAATTTTTCTCCAAATTGCAGAGCACAATTTCTATTTAGTTAAACATATTGGGAAAAAGATATTACACATAAAACGTGCTGTAACTTCTCTGCTGCTCACAGGCCAAAATGTAAATTAAACTTTTTTTTTTCAAATATGTCAAATTCAGCAAATAAACAATATTTGTGCATTAAGCCCTTAAAGTCCCAGGCTTATTACATACTAAGCCTTATTATTCAGTAACTACAGGGACTTCAATGCAAACTAGCTGAGCTATTCTTAGCTTATAGAAGTGTGTAATAAAACTTTGGGCCTGCCAGTGGGCCCTGACCATTTGAGGGGCTAGTGCAGAAGTGTGTTCTCTATAGCGGACATAGTCACTTATTTTCACTTCAAATCAACAAAACATGTCGTTGGACGGGGGTGCCAAAACTTTCGCACACAACTTTATATGAAATAACCAAAATTGTTACTTTGTAAGTGATTTCCTAACTTTGGAATGACAGAATCTTCTAAAGAGATGAATCAATTTAGTTCTTTAACAAAAGAAGGAATCGTTCACCACCGTCATTAGTCTTCAGAAGCAGAGCTCATCACCTCTGGAAGCAGTATTGATGTAGATGTTCAGCAGTTTACCTAAATTCCCAGAGGAAATAACCCAGTCTCATAACCTCTCTGCCAAACAAACACTGCAGAGTCGGACTCAAACTTCAGCCAACTACTGCTCCAAACTCTTGGATCGACAGGTATAAAGCCAGGTTAAGTCGAGGTCTTCCTCCTCTATGAGGCCGTGTGATGGAGGAGTTGGAATGACGGACTGAATGGCCAGTCGTGACTCATCTCTAACGTCCCTGCTTTGCTCTCAAGGCCGCAGCGTTTGTCTGAGGTGACTCAGAGTAGCTCATAGTTCCGACCGGATTACCCACAGTGTAAAACAGCCAGCATGAAGAACAACAAAAGCAGAGCTAAAGCTTTGATTTCATAACGTGAAAAGTCATGGCGTTTATTAGAATCAGCCCTGACTCACTCATCACTCAGAGGAAGCTTTATTTACTGTGTGATGTGGTTTTGACTCTATTCGAATAAGAGCATACAGGAAATATATATATATATATATATATATATATATCCCTGAAGTCTCAATGTTTGTGACGATGTCTACAGTTTTATTTATCTATATTTGTTTGTATCTGTTTATGTGTTATGCTGTCTGGCATGCCATATTACTGTAAATGGAAAGTGACTTTTATATAATGCTTTGTGTTTCTTTGTGTGTTTGCTTGTTTTCATAGATTTACAGGACAAATGTGTCCTTACATATTATTATTATATATATTATATATATATATTATATTATATATATATCACATATATGTAATGATGATGTCCCATATGTATTATTTATATGTAAATATGACACATTAGTAATATGTATAGGTACTTACATATATGTAAAAATAATATATCCCATATTTAAAATACATATTTGAGTACATATTTGTAATAATGATATCCCATAAGTATTATTCTAATAGGAATACATATGGGGCATCATTATTACCTATATGTAATTACATATATATAATACATATTGGATATATTCTTATTATATGTGTGTACTTACACACACACACACACACACACACACACACACACATATAATACAAGCAGGCTATATTATTATTACCTATATGTACTGTATGTGTTATGCTGTCTGGTGTGCCATTTTAATGTATTACTGGAATATTACTGGAAAGGGACATATTACTGTATTCCTTCTCCTGTAAAGTTACCATTTTGGAGATACGAGGTTTTGATCCGACAACAGTGATATGTATGTAATACAAGTGGGCTATATTATTATTACATATATGCACTTACATATATACAATAAATATAGGACATTTTATTATGTACATACTTATATATATATATATATATAACACCTATGAGACATTATTATTACACTTAGGGATTAACTTTGCATATAATTTATCCATGTTTATATATAAAACATTTACATTTAACATATGTGTGTGTGTGTGTGTGTGTGTGTGTGCGTGTGTGTGTGTGTGTGTGTGTGTGTGCGTGTGTGTTCGTTTTCTCTTACCGTTCTCTGTTGAATTTGAGTGAGTGCAGTATTGCTGGGCGTCTCTGCCGCAGGTTCCAGAGGTGCAGAGTGTCGTCCGCACAGGCTGAGACCAGCGCCCCCTACACACACAAACAAACAAGCACATTATCAGTCTGACACAAAACAACCTATTAACTCATCTTTCCTAAAGTATTGCTGGCTGTCTGTTCAGAACTGCTCATAGTGAAACAGATCAGCCAGTGAAATCAAAGCTCTCTGTGAGCTCCTGTGTTTCCTATCACTGTATAAAAGAAGCCCCATGCTGCCTTTATTGTTGGATGCACTGGATAAGTCGGGCGAGTGCCTTTAGAACACGATTCACATCACTTATTGATTTGTTTCATCAGAAGAACAATGGAAGTGTAAAGTATGTTCCTATTTATCTTTTTTGCTGGGCTTTTCCTGTTTAAAACAATAGTTCATAACACAAAATAGAAATCTTGATATTTGCATTATTCATAGATCATGTTCTTTATATATCAGAATTAATGCGAAAACAGCATTGAGATATGATGTTATTAAAGAAGAGGGGCAGATTAAACAGCACAACCAGCTGCTTTTTGTCTTACAGGGCTAAATATTGTTGTCATAAAAAAAGTTTGAAAAGATGACTTAAAAGCAACTTGAAAGGTTGTCTTTACGAAAAAGACTGGGTTTCTTCATAAAGGGGTAAGAAGCTCACTTCTGGAAGGCGACATGAAGGAATGCATGATGGAATCCTGCACTAAAGAATGAGTGATAGGCTCATAAACAAAAGCTAATATGGGACAATTAGCATGCTGCCATTAGCAAAACAATTAGCTGCAGCTTCCATTCATTGTCAGCCCCATTAGACTTTTAGGAGAACTAGACTTTTAATGATGATCTTGAAGTTGGATAATCATGCATAAACTCTTACCCATTAGCTAAATGAATGATACTCAGTGTCTACTAGATGAGAACTACTAGATGTGAGACGAGAGCTCGTTTTAAACGTTTAAAAGAGGGATGTGAAACTAATTTCCCAGTCGAATTTAAAGCAGAAGATGGCTGGTGTGGAAGACAGCACAGTCTTCAATTCTGTTACTAACATAATAACATATACATATAAACTATAAGGTAACACTTTCTATGAATGTCACCTTTGTAAGCATCTATAAACACATTCATAATGTTATAATGCATTCATAAGACATTATAAACATAGCTATAAATATATATAAAAATGCACTATATGTTATAGCCATGTTTAGTATGCATTATGAATTGTTAACATAATGCATTAAAAGTACTGATCATAACAAATTATAAGAGCTCATAAGTCGAATTTGTCCGCTCTAAGTAAAGTGAAGCGTACTGTACTAAAGCCTCCTCCAGTGTTCAGAGTGAGGCTTCAAGTTGAAGTATTTACTGAAGGATTTACTGAAACACTAAAACATTCACAGTAAAGCACATTACAGGCTTCAAATGTCAGAGTTTAAACTAGAGCTGCCATCAGTGTTTTACCCAATGTGGGAAAGGTAATGTTCACCACCGTTAGCTTGGTATTTGTCTTTACTTTACACTCTCCAAGCTGGGACTGACTTCTTTGGCACTGACATTATAACATGTTATTAACACTATTTATAATGCATTATATTAACAATTCATAATGTATCATAAACATGGCTATAAAGTGTAATTCAGTGTACTTCTTTTTTATAAATATTTATAACCTTGTTTATAATGCCTTATGAATACATTATAACATGTTATAAATGTGTTTATAGATGGTTACAAAGGTGACATTCATATAAAGTGTTATCAACTATAAATATAAATATGAGCATAATAATATAAACTGCAAGTGGCCCATCAACTTCATACTAACTCCAATACAGTCATATGTAGGGGAGACCTCAGTTCAAAGAGATGTGAACAGCATGTCAGGACTGCTGTGTATGATGTATGGCTGCTGTTTTAACATGCAATTCATACATATTTCATGACATTAAAGATTAGCTCGACTTTAATACACATGTTGTTTCTCATTAACATGCATAGCACAAACTCGCCAACAGCCTCAGCGTTGAAAAACTGCCCACTACATTGAAGATTCTTATAGTCCAGTGGGGCGATCAGGCAAGACTTTATGTAGACTTTAAGCTCCTTACGTGGTGCTTTTCATGCAGCAGGACACTATAGTGGTAATGTAGGCCTACATCTATCTATCTATCTATCTATCTATCTATCTATCTATCTGTCTATCTACCTACCTACCTACAGTACTGCATAATAGCACCCTTCATGCATTTAAGTTGAAATGACCGTTATGTGCCACTTATTAATTTTTCAGGAGATATTTCTGAATAAATTAGTTCAAAAAAATTACAAAAATATGTAGAGAAAATGGGAATCCTAAGAGCCATGCAACGGCTTGGGATTCCTTGCATTGTGGGAAGCAGAAGCAGAAAATGCAACCAACCTCTAGGACTGAACTTTAAAGGTGTGAAAAACATTCCTGCAGATTTCTTTGAAAAACTGAAAGCAAGTTTCCTCAAAAGATTTGAAGCTGTAATTAAATCTGCCACCTGAGCGTCAATAAATTTCCACTTGGTTTGACATTTTGTTTCCTAACATAACAAACTCAACTCATTGACAAGTATGGCACAAGTGTCCGAATACTTTTGGTACCCTGTCTTTGGTTAAATGGTGAACTGAAATGAATTCTGTGGGAAGCTACTCTACAAATCCTGTTCTAACTGATAATCACTCGCTGGTAAAAACAAAATGCTGGATCATATCAGAGCAACACAGACCTGAATGTGTTCCATTTAAACTGCACAACAAACTCTAATCAAAGCGATGATTAGCTCACTCCGCTAATGGCTAAAACATCTAAGGTAAAGCTGATGAAGGTTTTGGCTGCATTGGGTTTTCCCTCTCCGTCTGCTAATCTCTGGAGCTTTACATTCTGGTCTCTCTCTCTCTCTCTTTCTCTCTCTCTGTCGAGCGCTATCAGGCAGGTGACTGACACCTGCGTTTCCATGGTGATGGTGTTTACATAAACATGTTTACTGTCGCTGCACCTCAGAGACGGTAACAATGTGAGGTGAGAGGAAAGGAAGGAAAAAAACAGGGCTGAGAAGAGAGAGAGAGAGAGAGGAGAGAGAGAGAGAGAGAGAGAGAGCAATAAACGATTATTATAATAGACACAGCCTTATAGCACTTTACTTTTTTACTAAGCACTTGAGTTGATAGACTGAAAATGTCATGCTGGGATTAACTGTAATGCACTGACTTATTATACACATCCCTCCCTTTGTCTGTGGAGTGATTGAGACTGATGTGTTCTTTCTTTCCTTCCTTTCTGGTTTCATTCACTCAATGCTGAATGTAAAAAATTGTCCTGTCATTTTGTTCTCTCTACCTCTGCTGAGCATCTACCAGCTCTTCACCAAGTGTCTATTAGCTCTTCACTAAGGGCCTACAGGATCTTTTACTGAGCTTTACTGGCTTTTCACTGAGCATCTATCAGCTCTTCACTGAGCATCAATCAGCTCTTCACTGAGCATCAATCAGCTCTTCACTGCATGTCTATTGGCTTTTCAATGAGCGTCTAGCAGCTCTTCACTGAGTGTCTAGCAGCTCTTCACTTAGCATCAATTGGCTCTTCACTGAGCATTAATCAGCTCTTCACTGAGCATTAATCAGCTTTTCACTGAGTGTCAATCAGTTCTTCACTGAACATCTATCAGCTCTTCACTGAGCATCTATCAGCTCTTCACTGAGAATCTATCAGCTCTTCACTGAGCATCAATCAGCTCTTCACTGAGTGTCAATCAGTTCTTCACTGAACATCTGTCAGCTCTTCACCGAGCATCTATCAACTCCTCACTGAGCGTCTACCAGCTTTTCACTGAGCGTCTATCAGCTCTTTACTGAGCATCTACCAGATCTTCAGTGAGCATCTACCAGTTCTTCACCAAGTGTCTATTGGCTCTTCACTGAGCATCAATTAACTCCTCACAGAGTGTTCATAAGCTCTTCACTGAGCATCAATCAGCTCTTCACTAAGTGCCTATAGGCTCTTCACTGTGCATCAATCACCTGTTCTCTGAGCATCTATCAGCTCTTCGCCAAGCATCTATCAGCTCTTCACTGAGCATCTACCAGCTCTTCACTGAGCGTCTACCAGCTCTTCACTGAGTGCCTATAGGCTCTTCAGTGTGCATCAATGAGCTGTTCTCTGAGCATCTATCAGCTCTTCGCCAAGCATCTATCAACTCTTCACTGAGCATCAATCAGCTCTTCACTGAGCATCAATCAGCTCTTCACTGAGCATCTATTAACACTTGACAGGGACGTCTGTCAGCTCTTTGCTGAGTGTGACCAAGCATCTGTCAGCTCTTCACTGAGCATCTGAGGATTTATCAGCTGTGGATCTATCAGCTCTTCATCAAGTGTTGCCGAGCATCTATTGGCTCTTCACTGTGCATCTGTCAGCTCGTCACTCAGCACTTTTTACCCTTGATGTTTGTAATGGTGAATAATGAAGGAGTGCATTAGCTCCTTCAGACTGAGCAGGACAGCAGCTCTTAAACAGATCCTAATAAGTCTGTGTTTAGAATGACGGTGTACATGTTAACACAGCTTTTGTATGTAATACTATAACAAGATGTGATTATATTGCTACATACTTACTTTAGCAATAATTGTATAGATGCACAAGCACATTGTAAAACTATGATGTGAGATGATTAAGGACTGGCCAGTTTTATTTTGATTAAAAATAGTTGGATTGAATTTTGTAATGCTGTGTTCATGAATCCCTTGTTAAGAGAGGATGGGTTGAATTTTACTGTATTCATTGTAGAGGTACCGTGCAAAGCAGAAGCAGACAAACTGACAAAGTGACAGGTTTTGGCTTGTGAGCCGCCAGACCTCCAGAACATGATATCACACGAATTCAAAGTCTGATTTCTGCCAGAAAATAAAAGCTTAAAAAAGTGAAACAAAGCTGCCACTTGTCGTGGTTTTGATTACGTTGCCATTGCAAGCCACTGTCTCTGAAACATCTACACAGTCTCAAGCAGGCGGAGAAGCTTGAGATATAGGGTGTGTCTCAAAACCTAGTGAGCTCTCTACATAGACAGCATTTTACGTCACAATATGCGCTCCCGACAAGATGGCTGTCCCAATTCTTAGACATCTCAAATAAGCTGCCTACTGAGGTCTCTCATTTTGGCCCAATATCGAGAGAGCATCGGATGTTTCCTCAGCCGCTGAGGCAATCCCACGATGCAGCGCGGCGCAACTTTTGTTTGAAGATGGCGGGCAGAAGCGCTTCACCAAGCAGCAACATCATCTTCAAATGTAAGTTATTCTGATTTTCTGGGGTATTTATCTGTTTTCTAGTCATAAAGGTGCACAAATAACCTATACTTTCCGCGTTTGACCACAACTACTTAGATAGCTGCCTATGTAGACAGCGGCTACTTAAAGAGCTCACTAGGTTTTGAGACACACCCATAGTTTTTCAAATTATATGTAGTTAATAATCATCAAGTCTACACATTTTTAGAATCATTGAGGTTTTTTGATTTGCATACATTTCCAGTCACAAATCAATCAAAAAATCTGAAATTTCCACCGCAGAGAATGTTTTTGTGTGGAAAGCAAAAACAAGAGAAAAACTATGTTTTCAAAAATATGTGGACAGGGCCGTAGAGTGTGTGTGTGAAACTGTGAGCGATTTATATTTGTGTATGTTTGTTACCTCGTTGATGAGAAACTGAAGTTGCAGTACCGCTGCTCCGCTCTCATGCTGACAGTAACAGTCCACTCCTGGCCGACCCAGACTGATGACATCACAAAGTTAAGGGAAAGCACATACGTATGATTTTGAACATTAACATTGGTCACATTTATTATTCACAGTTATTTTAATGATGCTGCGAAAGCGCTGTACAAAAACAGTGCCTGCATACGGATCATACTGAACTGGTTCAGAGTCAGAGCTTTGAACAGCTGGACACATAAAATCATGAAATATTTATTAAAACACAAAACGGGACAGAAAATAGGTGTTTTGGTAGTGACAGTTCTTAATGTTCCACACTGATTTTCAGACTTTGGGACACATTTACTTCAAAACAATGGGATCTAACTGCTCACCATGTGGTCATGAGGGATGCAGCCTCACTTCCTGCTCTAAAATGCAGGGGTGTGGCTAAAACCAGGCTCCGCCTACAGACTAAAATGCTTTGAGTTTGGATAGTGACATGAAAACATAGGTCAGTTTTTTTGAAAAACGTTTATTTAACAATTAGACTAATGATGAATCAAAATTTTTCAACTTCACTTAAAAAAATGAAAAAATGAACTAAAAATTAGTATTATATTCACAGGTTGAAATTTTGGCATTAGGGTTCGTGACAGACATCTCCCAATAGAAAGTACCCTATATATGATTATGTTGTATATATTTAAGGTATTAATATCTATATTAATACTTTGGGTTTAAATAGATGACCACATTGTTTTTAACACATTTTATTTCACTGTAGGACCTAATAAAATAGTCCATAAACTATACTCCATTTTAAAGGGTCCATATTCTACATTTTTATTGAATTCTCTCCCTCTGAGGCCCACTCATATATGTTTGTATGGGTTTATGTGCTTAAGAAAAATGTCCAGGCCTAGAACTCAAAGCTCTGAGCCAAATCCCAAAACTAATTAAGACACAATCCTGAAGCCGACATTCAGCCCTGCAGTTCTGTCATATATGAATGAAGGACTAGAGGTGGATTAAAGGGCTCATATCGTACATTTTTCTTGCATTTTTTTCTCCGAGGACCACTTTTGAGGACATTTCTGTGGGTTTACGTACCAAAACCAGCCATAAACCAAGTTTTTTTATTTAATAAAAACATTTTTTGTTAATGTACCTTTAAGACATATCGCTGCTGTCGGAACAAAACCTCATATCTCCATTTTTGTCGTTTTTCAGTTTTTGACATAATTTGAAAGCGTCTGTTGCCCTTTACAGTATATGTAAATTTCATGATGAACAGACCAAACGAAGAGGCCCAAAATGACTTGGGAAAAAATTCTGGCTCCATTGACTTACATTAAAAGTGAACTATGTTTTTTCCTTCTTCTGTAAAGTTACCATTTTGGAGATACCAGGTTTTGGTCCAACAGCAGCGATATGCACGTAACCTCTATTTGGATTGGCTGTCTTGTAAACAGAAAAGTGACTGAAACACTCCTTATAACTTTAGCATGAATGGGTGGGGCTGAACTGGTGGCTGGATGGGGGTTGTTTTTTGTGACATCACAAAAACAACTCCAAACAGGCTGTTTTTGCAGATTAGTTTCCATGAATGGACTGTATAGACCTGGGAGGGAATTGTATGTTTAGAAACTTTTAGTCATAGTGTTTACAAACTACATCAAACTGTTATTTTTTTAAAAAAAAAAAGCTTCAACCATATGGGCCCTTATAGGACAAACTGTGGCAGCTACACTGACCACAAAGCCCATAACACATCTGAAGGTGTTTCGCTCTTGGCCAGTACAGCCTACAGAAAAGTGTAATAATCCATGTTTACATTTCTTGAAAAGCCCAGAAGAACATTCTCGAAGCTGGAACTGAGCTCAGGTTCTTCACACTGGGGGCGCTCTGTAGGTTAACCGCTTTGTAATAGCTGTAGCACCCAGTGACACGGCCAGAACACTGTTTAAAGCCTCAGGGACTCGGTGTGATCTGTACAGCGCCGCATGACATTTACTGACTGACCTCACGACACCACATAAAGTATTTATTGATTCTTGGAGATCTTTTATAAAGAAGTAAAAGAAAAGCTGCTGAAGGCATCGAAACCTATTTCTTAGCTGAAATAAAGCACGTCAGATAGAGAACATGACATTTCAAAAGTTTGGAATCACTGTTGTCAATATTATGAAACCATTTCGCTGCAGATCCATGCATAAAATCATTCTAATGACACCAGGACTGTACAACATAGGCTTTACAGGAAGATATAAATAATAAAGAAATGTTCTATGTGTCTAGAATATTGAACAGAGCTGTGGAGGATTCTGAGATGACTGAGAAAGTCATAGATGTGTCCTTGAGTTAAATGTAATATTTAATACTTAACGAACATTTAAAATGTAATATAATTCACCAGTGTTTAACCTTCACTATTAGAGCTTGGCCTTCAGTTCTGACCATAAACGTCAAAACTCAGTCGAAAAATGAGAAAGAAAGAAACAACTGAATGATAACATTAATTTCTGCTAGCACCCCTATGGGGTTTCTAATAGTATGTTAGTGCCAAACTAATGTTAGTGATACCATTTTTGCCCATTCTAGATTAAATGCAGACATAAAAGCTTGTAAAAGACATTTGTATTTTCAGATTATAACAGTTGTTAACATATTAATTACCTTGTTTGTTGCAGATTTATAGGGACTCTGTCAGTAAAGAGTCCTGGAGTAGACCTACTGCTGTTTTCCATCCCTAACAACTAACTGAAACCTAGTCAAACTAGAGCTCGTATTCACAGTCAGTGATGTATCTTCAACTTCCATTAAAGTTTTTTTTTTCACAAAATTGTAAATCAAACCAAATTTAATTTCAAACAAATTAAGACTTTTTGACCTGCAGACACTCTGAATAGTATAGCATTGAGAAGTTATAGTAGTGACTATATAGTACATATAGTACTAACTTATAGTTAATATATAGTAAAATTATTGGTAATTAAATGTAATACCTTTAAGAAACAACTGTAAATACTGTAAATTACACTTAACTAAAAAAACTATAATAGATAACCTAGTTTATTGTTCTTTATTTATACATTCATACATATACATATAAAATATGCAGTATAATTAGAAATGTGTAGTGTATTTATAATTTAGATTTTATAATTATATAGTAAAATAGTAATATATTGTTTATAATTTAATTGATATAATTAGAGTAAATACAGCATAATTAAGAACTTACTAAAAAACAAATGACTACAGTATATTATTAATCTTTAATAACCTTAAAAGATTACTATAAAAGTCATAACAATCATAGTATATTTATCATATCGTAACTTCTTAGTCTGTCATAAAATGTACAATATTACAAAAAGCATCTAAAGATATTTTCTAGTGTCTAGTATAAGTTTTGTTGAATAGCAAAACAATTATTAAAGGTGCCATAAATGGAAAACCGTATTTACATTGATTATAGTTAATGTGTAGTAAAATATTGTGAATTGTTTTAAATGTAATAACTTTAAGAAATAACTAAATAATTAGAGGATATTATTTATCACTTAACTTCAAGAATTTACTATAAATATATAATTTAGTTTATTGTTTTCCATTTATTTTTATTCATAAAAATATGTAGTGTAAGTAGAATGAATCTGTAGTATATTATTTATGATTTAGTATTTATAATTATAATATTTAGTAAAAATATTATATAGTGTTTATCATTTAATTAATATCATTAGAGTAAATATAACATAATTAGAGTATAATTATAAGCTGTTAAGAAATTACTAATATATTATTACAGTATATTATTTATTTTTAGTAACTTCAACAAATTACTATAAAAGTTACAACTATCACAGTGTATTTATCATTCAGTAACTTCTTGGTCTCTCACAAAACTTAGAATATTGAAAAAAGCATCTAAAGACACTTTCTGGTGTCTAGTATAAGTTATTATTGATTAAAAAGTGATTATTAAAGGTGCCACAGAATTGAAAGCTGTATTTACACTAGCGTAGTTGACTAAGGAGAGTTTGGCACATGGAACTGACACACTGTGAACCTCACACACTGCTGTCTCCTCCTTCAAATACAAACCTTGGGTATGCAAAAAAGGGCCAATTCCAAAATCCTGAACTGTTACATAACAGTCTTTACTCATTAATATTGACGCCCCCAACATTTACATACATCAGCCCACATTCTGGCTCAGCAGGTTTTGTGAAGAACAAAACAACAACAACGGAGCAACAGCAGTGAAAATAGCAGCGTGTGCAGAAATGTATATTTGCAGGTTGCGAAAGGGATGTCGGCATTTTTATTCCCTTCCCGAGGAACCGAACTGTCAAGCATGGCTGATGTTCAACTTTAAACAAGGCTTCCTATTCGCCAGCTTCTTAATCGAATGTTCCATTCCACCTTAAATGCTACAGCTTGTACAGGTGCCACAATGTAACTGTAGCACCATTTAAGGTGGAACAGAAAATTTGCAAAACAAGTTGGCAAATAAGAAGCTGATTTCAGCTCTGGCTTCTTTAACCATCTTTAACAGGATTCCGGACAACTTTAATCCAAAGTTGTTAGTTTGCTGTGCCCCAATTCAGGGGCTGCATCCTTCAGAGGCTGCATTTGAAGGCCGATTGCATCACAGCGGCACGACTAGACTGTCCCGTTTATCTCATTTATATACGGCCGAGAAATGTGTCCTTCTTTTCCATGGCAATGAAGGATCCAATGGGTGTATCCTTCGCCAGCCAACATATCCCAAGGTTCACTGCATGCTGGCAAGATTCGAGAACATGAGGGCGTCAGCAGAGGAGCGAACAGCAGCTGAGGTGACACTTTAAATGTAAGTAACTGGGTTTAAACTGAGTCAAATAGCGAACGATACACACATTAAAGAAACCAATGAGGTCTGAAGCAGAACTTACGCTAATGTTTTGTTTTGTTTTAGGGAACAAAGAGATGACAGAGAGAAGCATCTCCAGCTCTAATAAATGAAAAAATAACTAAATTCGAAGTTTCTGGCTCCGTCGTTTAAAGAGCTCTAAAAGGACTTGACAG